TTCCAGCACCTGGAGGGTCTGGCAGGCTGCTGAGGCTTGCTCCAGCTCCAGCGCCTTGGCTTTCAGCAGGCTCTCCATGCTCTAGGGCCACAGGAAGCCAGGGACATGCTCAGGCCCACGCGGTTCTGCAGAGTCCCCAGGGTTCAAGTACCATCGCTTAAGGAAAGCGCCACCACAGCGGCCACATGGAGTTACCCCTTCCCCGCCAGGAACAAGGGCAGAGCTTTAGCAGTTAACCGCTGGCACGGCTGCCCAGGGCTCTGGTGGATTTGCCTTCCCTGGCCCCTTCCAGTCGAGAGCTTGTCTAAAGCTGCCTAGGAGCTCAGGCCAGGCGAACGTGCGCCCCCGGGGGGAGCCGGGCGCCCCCCTCGCCACAGGTGCACCGCCCAGGGGAGGCTCGCCCGTACCTGCATGGTGGCCTCATTGCTGGACAGGACGTCGCGCAGCCTCTGCAGGTCGTGCTCCCGCTCTCTCACGCAGAGATGCAGCTTCTGCAGCTCTCGCTCCTTCTCCTCCAGGGCACAGAACCGCTCATCGATTCCTCGCTCCAGGGAGAGAAGAGGTGACGGCGGGGTCACCTCACGCAGGGACAGCACCCTGTCCTCTCACCACGCAGCCTCCCGCGCACTGGGGGGCACCGCCGCTCCCCCCACGGGGATGCGGGAAGGGAAAGGGAGCGCAAAGCACAAGGGATGCTGTGCTGACCCAACCTCAAAGGAGCCTGGGGAAAGGACGGGGAGGCGGTGCCGGAATGTCCCGCGCTTACCTCCAGAGCAGCATCTCGGTCTCTGATGCGCTGCTGCAGCTTCTCCAGCATCGCACCGGTCCCCGCGGGGCTCTTCTCTGCGCTCTGCCAGTGCTGCAGCAGTTCCCTGGATTCCTGCAGGGCCCCAGAAGCACACGTCAGCACAGGCACCTGCCCTGGGGAAAGGACGGGGAGGCGGTGCCGGAATGTCCCGCGCTTACCTCCAGAGCAGCATCTCGGTCTCTGATGCGCTGCTGCAGCTTCTCCAGCATCGCACCGGTCCCCGCGGGGCTCTTCTCTGCGCTCTGCCAGTGCTGCAGCAGTTCCCTGGATTCCTGCAGGGCCCCAGAAGCACACGTCAGCACAGGCACCTGCCTCACGGAGCCAGCAGGCAGCACGGAGGCCAGAAAGCCTCTGTGCTCGGCTCACCAGGCGCTGCCTCGGCCTGAGCCGGAGTGGCATCGCTGCCCGGGGCTG